TTATTTTTACGATTTCTCGATCCCTCGGCGTCGATCAAACGATCCAATGTTCCCTTCCTGAATCCTGCTGATCTGCTGATTTTTTTTTTTTTGTTTCGAGAGAAGGCGAAGGATCACTCGTCCACATCGAAATTCTTTTGCCCCCGATTTTGCGCAGATTTCTTTTTCCCCCTTCTCCCCCTCGATAAAGCGATCGGTGCGCGAGAGGTGGCCTTGAGGTTGAATTCTACCTTCGATACGTGGTAGAGAAGAGAGAGAGAGAGAGAGAGAGAGGAGGGAAGGCGCGCGTTCGATACAAAGATTTTTTTTAACGCGAAATTTCCAGGCGCGCGTGGAGACGCGTGCGTCGAACAGGAGAATTTTCTTTTTTTTTTTTTTTCGTCATTCATCGAAGAACGGATCGATCGGATACGAAATCGTTATTTTCGATATTTTCGAATCGATTCGAATTAAAAGGAACGGGAGGGAGAATTAGCCGGGCTCGGCTGAGAGAAGAGAAACTCTCGCTTCCAGCCGCCGGTTACCGGACGGCGGGCCCGGTTTTAACCCGAGTTGGTGTCAAAATAGCACGTAGGGAACCTTAGACCGGCTACGTTATAATAATCGTCCATACTTGTACCCGCTACACCGCTATACGTAACCAGGTATAATATATTCTACGGTTCGTGATCGGTGTGACGGTGGTGGTAGTGATGGTGGTGGTGGTGGTGGTGGTGGTGGTGGGAAGCGAACTTGTACCATAAGCAGTTAAAGTCATCGTTGTAGGTTTCCCTCGCGATATTAATCACGCGTACGCGCGTTGCCGTGTAGCCGCGCGGTGTAACAATCTCTAATCCTCGATGAAACGGCGCTCGATTAGCCCAATAAGAGGGCAACGACAGACAACGGCTTTGCATACTTCATACCTCCTCGGTCACTTTCTACTCCGCCCGTTTCTATCCTCGAACCACGCTTCGCTCCTTCTTTCACGCCTCGCCTCCATTCCTCCCCGTTTATTTAAACGTTCCTCACTTAAAAAACTTGGCCTCGTAAATAAACTTTCTCGAGCGAAACAATTTTCCAATTTCTTTCTCCTCTCCTTCTTTCTCCTCGTCCTCGCGTCGATTAACACATGGCGAACACGAAGCGATGCGAAGAAGAAGAAGAAGAAGAAGAAGAAGTCGAAGGAGAAGGAGAAGGGGGAGGAGTTTTGGAGAAGGACGCGTTGTGGATAGAGGAGGAAGGAGCTCCTCGGTCGATCTCTGGCGAGTTTTCGAAAGATTCTTGGAGTTGTAGGGAAGATAGCCGGTCGAAGCAGGCTGGAATATCGTCAATAATTACCTCGTGCGGCAAGTGGTGATGAGGATGCTGATACGGCGGCGGTACGTACGGCGGGTGGCTCGGATGATTGTGGGGGTGAGGTCGGGGATGGTTTTGATGTTGGGCTTGCGGCGGGAGCGGTTGGGGCGCAGGGGGCGGTGTCCAAGGCCCGTGGTTCGGCCCGTGGCTTTCATTGGTGCCATACATCTTCAGGGAAGAATCTCGAGCACGCGACCTGAAGAGTCCCTCCCGCCCTCCACGCACGGTGATACGAAAGACTGTGATACCGACATGGCTACCCTTATTCCAGGTCGCATTCGCGACAATCGCTTGATTCCGATTCCCTTTTCCTAAATCGCTAGTTCGTCACGAGATGTTACGAGATCCGTGGATGGATGGATGGATGGATGGATGGATAGATAGATCCGTCGTCACCGTGCGTCCCCTTTTTGCTATTATTCCTAGTCTCTTCTTCTTTTTTTTCTTTGTTCGACGCGAATCTCTCTTCCTCTTTGGATTTTTTTCTTTCTTTCTTTCTTTCTTTCCTTCCTTCCTTCTTTCTTTCTGTTTTTTTCTCCCTACCTTCGTTGAAAGAAAAAGAAACGAGTAGGTAGGAAGGGAGGAAGGGATATATTCTCCCTTCCGATATATTTGTTACTCGATTATATTTGTATTCCAACAACGCGAAACAACAAGGCTGCGTGAGAATATGACACTGCGAACACGACGAGGCACACACGAGGGCGTGATTTCTTCTTTTGTCTAGTACTATTATCCTTCCAGTGTGAGAACGGTATCGTTCCACTTTCACGTGCTTACTTTTCGTGTCTCGAGTATGTATATATATATATGTGTGCGCGCGTGTGTGTGTGTGCGTGTGCGCGTGTATATGTATAATATACTTTCTTTCAACTTATAGCGCTTTTTTTGCGCGCTATATTTCTCTTTTTTCCTTTTCGATTTTTTCTCCGTTCACTCGTTCTCTCCTGCTCTTCCAAACAAAATCCTCTCCCTTATTTTACTTGAATAGTCTCTGGTCGGGAACGGATTCGAACGGACGGAACGATGATTCGATATCATTCGCAGGTACATCTTTGGCGTATAGTATTATATATTTATATGTAATATAATATTCCTCTTGAATGTGTATGTGTGTATATATATATATATATATATACGTACAATATATACACGTATACAATAGGAAAACGTATGTAGAAGTAGAAGGAGAAGAAGAAAAAGTGACGAAAAGTCGGCGACTTCGAACGTTCTCTCTCTCTCTCTCTCTCTTCTCTCTCTCTCTCTCTCTCTCTCTTGTTCACGAAAATATTGCAATAAACGAACACACACGGTGGAAACGAAACTCACTGTTTTCACGTATACATGTGGGAACGGTTCTCCGGCTTGAATCACTGTGTTACCACACGATAACTCCCCCCTCGAAATAAAGCGAAACGAAACGACGGCAGCGGCGACGACGACGACGACGACGACGACGACGACGAAGAACCGGCGGTTAGAGAGATCGGACAAAAGAGGAGGAGGGATCGTCGCGGACGAAGGACGAACGAACGAACGAACGAGCGCGTCCTACCGAGTCCCACTTCGGAAACGAATATCACTCTGCACGACCGCGCTCAATTTCTTCTTCTTCTTCTTCTTCTTCTTCTTCTTCTTCTCCACCTCGTCCTTTTCTCTTTTCTCTTTATTATTCCCTCTATCGATCCTTCTTTTTTTTTATTCGTTATTATTGTTATTATTGTTCCTCTCCTCTCTTCTCCTCTTCTCTCCTCTCTCTCTCTAAGCTCCCTCTTCCTCTCTTTCTCCCTTTTCGCCCGATTTTCTCACGGGGGTGAGCTGGCGCGCCCGTGTAGCGTAAAAGCGCGGACGCAGCGCTGTACGCCAGCGTGTGGCGTCTCTCGCGAACTAAGCCGGTCGAAGGGGGGGACAGAGCGATTTCTTGGTCTTTCGCGCTGTGCGTGTGCTAAACGGGGGAAGAAAAAAGGTGGAAAGGCGCTGATAACGCGCGGCGACGAAAAATCGCCGGCTACTCGAAGAGATATCGATTGAAATAACACGATTCCGGGGAACGCGAGCCAATCGGCACCGCTGACACGGCGGAAGGGGCCAATCGTGCCCGGTTCTATCTCTCTTTCACAACCTCCCTCGCTCGCTCCCCTACTTCTTCTCGTCATACGCGTCCTCCGCCGTCCCCCTTTCTCCCTCCCCTCTTCTCCGCGCCTATGTGTGTATACGCGCGCGCGCGCGTATGTGTGTGTGTGCGTGTGTGTGTGTGTGTGTGTTTCCTCCACTCCTCCTCCTCCTCCTCCTCCTCCTCCTCCTCTCGTCGTCGTCATCGTGCGGCCGTGGCTCGCTACTATTGCCACCGCCGCAACATTCGTCGCTGCTTCTCTTCCTCCACCCTCGCCACCGAGAAGAGAGGCGAGAATGGAAAGAGAGACGAGAGAGGCCACCGAGGTGCGCTCGAGCAGGGTGAGGAGAGACGCGTTACGCCGCCGTTTTCAGGAAGTATTCCGCGATTCCGATATCGAGTCGTCTCTCTTCGACCCGATCACGCACGCGGTTTTTTTCCATTCCACCTCTTCTTCTTCTTCCAACCACGCGATCTTTGGGGCGCATCGAGCGCCCATCCCCAAGTTCGCTCCTCGCGAAGAGCGGGGAGCTCCTTTCAACGTTGGAGGAGTCGCGCTCGCGCCGTTTCTTAATTGTTCCAATTCGTCGAAAAGGTGAAAAAAAATTATCGAAATCGGGCCGGCCATCGCCCCCGTTGTGCGAATGGTTTCGAGAGGTGCGATCGAGATGCGATCAACTGCACTTCTGATCGACAGTTGGTTTCCCATCCGGGAGAACTCGAAAACACGATCGAACGCGCGACCGTTTCTTCCTTTACTCCCGCGAAATTAATTTGGAACGAGGCGAAATATTCGAGTCGCCAGTTTCTTCTTCTTCTTCTTCTTCTTCTTCTTCCACTTGTCTCGTTTCGATCTCGAAACCGTTCTCCCCCGTTCCTCGCGCGTTCGACTCTTGTGCAACGCCGACGTTTCGATTAGGAGGAGGATTTCGGAGGATTAGGAATCGAAAGCGATCGAAAGAATATGCAACGATCGAGGCGAGAGGAAGAAGAGAAAAAATAACAAAAAAAAAAAAAAAAAAGAAAGAAAAGAAGAAAGGAAGGAGAGAGAGAGAGAGAGAGAGAGAGAGAGAGAGAGAGAGAG